GAGACGTTTGAAACGGTTTAGCCTCACTAAACCCTGAGGATACTTGACGAGTCACTATCTTCTCAGTCAAGTGGTGAGTAATCACTTATGTTGATTCCAGGGCTCAGCTGAGCTTGATTTATGACTGACCCACAGCAATAAAACTCCACGGATCTGTTCGTTTTTCCTGTGTGACATCCAGGACATCAGTGACAGCACGACTGAGCCCAAAGATGTTTGCTGTCTGCTGTGGGACAGGGAGATAATTAGCTCCAGTGAGCTGCCTATGTAGGGAGTATCGTAACGGAGGAGTCATAGCTGGAATCTCGACACAAAGGCTTAAAAATGATGAAGCTGCACTGTAAAAAATTACAGTGAATTTAACGGTAAAAGACTGTAAAAATGCTACAGTTAAATGGTTAACGGTAAATTCCCCTACTATATACGGTGAAAAACTGTATTGGACATTACATGAATTGGACATGGATTTTACAGTAGTATACCGTTTTTGTAAGTGAAAAAGACCGTATAATTTACAGTGAATAACCGTAAATTGACATTCCCAGAATTCCCCCACACCTGACGCTCCTGAGGTTGATATTACATCACTAACTATATAACTGTGAGCTCTAGTACTCAAAAACACAGAAATGAACAAATGTTGAACTTGTTTCCTAGAAATCATTTCCAATATCAATGATTTTGCCGTGAAAGTGGCTTCATTTCAGGGTGAAAGCATATCCTGGGCATCATTATCGCCATCATCAGCGCAAATTAAGTGTAGAGCAACACATCAGAGGGAAATCTGAATAAAACACGCAGCCTGAGTAGACGCCTTAAAACCTGTGACGCGCAGGGCAATAGAGACGCGTAATCAGGCCTAGGTCACGGTGATATAAACATAGGCCTACTGCTGCTTCATATCCTTCCGATCGGCGTGTCTTATCATCCGCCATGCCAAGGTCATGATAATGTGTGCATTTAATTGCTGATACACTTGATTATGTGCAAAATATTGAGGGGGTAAATTGGAGCGTGCTGCTTTGCATTTTAAAAGGTTCCTCCTGCTGTTCATGAGCCCATTAAAGTTTGTCATATTGATTCGAGTGGGTTTATAGTTCCGTGCAGAAACATTTTCACTCTCCCTTGAGAACTGAAAGATTAAACCATTGCAAACAAATTACTTTCTTTAAGTGATCCTTAAAAGTTTTTAAAGGAATATATCACGTTTAATACAAGTTAAACTATATATAATTTCTCAGTTTGTAAAACAAATAAAAGCAAACATAAAATCAATATATAATTTCATAAATGATATACGATCTTCAATACATGTATAATGATATAATGTTGATATATAAAAAATTAAATAGAAAAACCTATTTATATTAATAACTTCACAAATACGGATTACAATATAATGCTGATATATACATACATATAAATTGACATAAATATAACTTCATAAATTATTTATTATATATGATTGTTAATATATTTCAAACATTATATATTAATATATTAATGTATAATGTTTTTTTAAATAAACAAATCTTTCAGTTTGTAAAAGCTTCATTTACAGAAATCATTTACACTGCAAGGGGATAAACATTATATTTAGCGAGACCAGTTTATATCCAGCATATATTAATCAAAATCTAAAATACACAGTTTTAAAAGTATAAGCACAAAACTTCAACATTATATTTGTTAATATGAAACTAGAGTGATAAAATCACATCCAGACCTGAACGCCTCTCATGAAAAAACAGCAAATCCAGTAACTTTTGCATGATATAGACCAGAAGAACACCTGAATGGGACAGTTTACATGAAAATCCACCTAGAAAAGAGAATCCATTGCAAAAATGACGATTTATACACTTCACAGTGCAAAAACCCACATTTGTGCAGGGGCTTTAACACAAACAGGCCCATAGACTTAGAAAGTGCATTAATGTAAAGCATTTTTTCCAACCTGAGAGACGAGTTAAGATCTTTTGTGTGGTGACTGAAAGCATGTCACCAATGCAGTGCACAGAGTTTAACTTGTTTTGAATGTGGAACATTCCTTGAAGCCCATTTTGTGTTTTCGAGCACCTTAAAGCAGCATTCAAAATCTGTCAACAAATATGATTTCATATTTGCCTGGACGATTGCACACTGACAGCTGACACAGCTGGCTGAATGTAATCAGTCCGTCATCATGATGCTGTTTACATCCACATCATCCATCTGAACCACACTGAATGCATCTGAACGCACTAAGTGTTGCATAATACAATACTGATTCTGTGCTTCTGCATCTTTTCCCTTGTTGTACGCCTGTAAGACACACACTACAAAAATGTCTGCCTATGGGAATTATCTGAATAATAAACAGTAAGAATGTGTGTAAAGATAGACAGTCAGATGGACAGTCAGACAGACAGACAGACAGACAGACGGACAGACGGAGAGATGGATAGACAGACAGACAGACATTCAGACAGACAGACAGACAGACAGACGGATAGACAGTCAGATGGATAGACAGACAGACAGACAGACAGACACACAACAGACAGACAGACACATAAACGGACAGATGGATAGACAGACAGACAGACAGACAGACAGCCAGATGGATAGACAGACAGATGGATAGACAGACAGATGGATAGACAGACAGATGGATAGACAGACAGATGGATAGACAGACAGATGGATAGACAGACAGATGGATAGACAGACAGATGGATAGACAGACAGATGGATAGACAGACAGATGGATAGACAGACAGATGGATAGACAGACAGATGGATAGACAGACAGATGGATAGACAGACAGATGGATAGACAGACAGATGGATAGACAGACAGATGGATAGACAGACAGATGGATAGACAGACAGATGGATAGACAGACAGATGGATAGACAGACAGACGGACGGACGGACGGACAGATGGATAGACAGACAGACAGACAGACAGACAGTCAGATGGATAGACAGACAGATGGATATACAGATGGATAGACAGACAGACAGACAGACAGACAGACAGACAGATAAACAGACAGATGGATAGACAGACAGACGGACGGACGGACGGACAGATGGATAGACAGACAGACAGACAGACAGTCAGACAGACAGACAGTCAGACAGACAGATGGACAGACAGACAGACAGACAGACAGACAGACAGTCAGACAGTCAGACGGATAGACAGTCAGATGGATAGACAGATGGATAGACAGACAGACAGTCAGACAGATAGACAGTCAGATGGATAGACAGACAGATGGATAGACAGATGGATAGACAGACAGACAGACAGACACATAAACGGACAGATGGATAGACAGACAGACGGACGGACGGACAGACAGATGGATAGTCAGACAGACAGACAGACAGATGGATAGACAGACATTCAGACAGACAGACAGACAGACAGACAGATGGATAGACAGACATTCAGACAGACAGACAGACAGACAGACAGATGGATAGACAGACAGTCAGACAGACAGACAGATGGATAGACAGACATTCAGACAGACAGACAGACAGACAGACACACACACACACACACAGATGGACAGATGGATAGACAGTCAGACAGGTTTGTGTTGCAGTAACCAACATTTGTGTGGCTCTGAGTGTTTGTGTCTGTCTGTTCTCATCATGTATTCTGCAGGTGAAGCTGCTCTTCATCAGGTCTCTGGTTCTTGCGTGTTCTTCCCCTGAGTCTGCGTGATTCAGTCAGAGCATTCAGCCATCTGCTCTGCGGAGAACAGCAGACAGAGCAGAAACACAGAGACCAGCAGAGAGAAGGACACACACACACACACACACACACACACACACACGAGTCTCTCAGGAAAGGTGACCCTCAGCTCACAGCTGAAATATGACATTTGAAAATAAAAGATTTGATCAGTATTAGTGTCATAGAAGTAAACAAACAGCTCAGGAGACACATGTTTCTCCTTATGCTGTCTGTAACTAACAAGACAAAGCTGAGACTGCGTTATTGCTTTTGCTGATGAATTGTTAATAATCCTTTGTGCAGAGCAGGATATTAACAATCTTCTTCTTCTTCTTCGGCTAGTAAAGTTCTTGTCCTAATGGATGTATAGATTCTCAAATCAATATACAAACGTGTGTGTTTTCAGAGGGTGATAAAGAAATGATTTCTTAAATAATACAAGATGAACTGCAGATAACAGCTCATGTGCCCAGAATATACAGTATACACACACACACACACATAAAAGCTGCATGTTTGTAAGAAACAAATCCATCATTAAGATATAATGGATTGTTAACTTCAAACACTTTCTTCTGGCTAAAAAAAACGAGTCCATAATCCATAATGACGCTTCCTCCAGTGGAAAAGTCCATCTCCTGTTGTCTCTCACACCAAAATCCACCTGTTTTAGCTTGTAAATGTTGCTTGATCTGTGCAGATTTCTCTCCCGATTCAGACCAGATTACTTTTTCACTGGAGGAAGCGTTATTATGGATTATGGACTCTATAAGCATATAACTATGGAGTATTTAGTCTATAAGTAAGAGTTTAAGGTTAAAGCATCTTGATGATGGATTTGTTTCTAACAAGACATTAACTGATGGACTGGAGTGGTGTGGATTGCTTGTGGATTATTGTGATGTGTTTATCAGTGGTTTGGACTCTCATTCTGACGGCACCCATTCACTCAGAGCATCCATTGGTGAGCAAGTGACGCAATGCTGCATTTCTCCAAATCTGATGAAGAAACAAACTCATCTACATCTTGGATGGCCTGAGAGTGAGGACATTTTCAGCAAATGTTAATTTTTGGGTGAACTATCCCTTTAAATATCTAAGAAATCAAAAGGCACTTTTTTTATCCAGTTTTGACCCAATTTTTTATGTTTTACTTGTAAAATGGAATGGAAATATGTAAATAAAGGGGTAGCGAAAAACAACTGTCATGTTATTAAGAGACAAAAAAGACCAGAGACACAAGTAGTCCACAATAAACAACTGTCATAGGATGTATTTTTTGTTCCAAGTGGCAAATCATTGAGAAAAAGCACGGGCAAAGAGTGATAAATACTGAGCGTACAGCCTTTTCTGCAAAATCTGAAGTCTTTTGCACGAACGCATGTATTCACAACAACATCACACTCGCCAACTCACACATTTATTTTGATTTAGCTATACAATGACTGCTTCTTTAACTCCGTTAAACGTAATACTGAGCACTGAACCATTCAAAGGCAAAAGGAGAAGGTGACGTTACAAAGTTTCATTTCAAAAGAATATTTACAACCAATGAATGTCATTATACACACCTTAGAAACCGTACTATTGTGCCAGATCTCTGGACAATAACTGTTTTATGTACAAAAAGGGCAAAAACTTAGGGACACGTCGCTCCTCTTCAGCAGCCCCAGTCTCTCGGATGGTTTCCCATAATGCACCGTGAATGTTAATGTCCCTAGACTCGACAAGGCATTTCAGTCCGTCGGTTTAACTGGATTAGTCCGATACGAGGTAAAAGAGCGTCATATGAAATATTCTTTTTGGTAATCACTGACAATGCTCTGTGAGTTTGGATCCGTGTTAAAGGGCGTTTCGGGACTGTCATCTGTTTTTCCCACTTTGGGCTCTTGGGGCTGAAACGTTTCTTTCCGCCGGTACAGGAATCGCGCCATCACAGCCAGCGCGGCCAGACTCACAAATATCACAACGGCAATGACATCTGATTTGCATAGAAAACGTCATGTACAGAAATAAATTTGGTGTAAATTTCACAAATAATGACAAAGAAATGCAAGTAACACATTGAATTAAACATAACAATTTGAAGTAGAAAGACTAAAAGAGTGTTTTCTTGTACTTCAGTAATTTATGTTGTTTTTTAAAGATTATGACCTTAGAAGACTTATTCACTGTAAAATATTATAATTTTGAAGGTGTATAAATGCTACAGTAAAAACTTGTTAATTGGTTAACAGTACGTTTCCTTACAATACATAGTGGATATCATTTTAACTTTAATTTTGGCATTTTTAATATCGTTTTACAGAAAAATACTGTAAAGTTTTTGGTCATATTATAATTTGCAGAATCACGTGTGACTTCAGTTTTTTCTTAATATTTTTTGTTATCATTTATATACATTAGGGTTTTACATTGCATCTTTTGTTCTTAAATGAATGTTTATGGCATTATTTTAGTGTTGTATGGGTATTTTTTGTATTTGAGCATCTTTACCACCTGTTTTTATGATAGTTGTCAGTATATTACAAAGGTATAAAACAGATTTTAATCCCTCAGTAGATTGGTATTTTGACATTATATCAGTTTATGAAATACATATATATATATATATATTTTTCCATTTTCCAAGTTCCATTTTCTAAAACTTAAAATGTTGACATTTTTTTACTGCAAATTTCACAGATTTCCCCCCCCCACACACTTTCATTCTGCATTTTTGGAGCTTAACAGTCTTAGTGAATTGAAAAAGGTGGTAAACATTTCCTTTTGTCGTCCACAAAGTACATGAAGTCAAAACGTCTGGGAAGGAGTAAATGATGATTTGGGCGAATTGTTCATTTAAGGCATTCCTAGAGCAAGACCAAGTAAAAATGAGCCAAAAAGCAGCAAAATAATAATGAATGAAATGAGAACAGATGAGGAATGGAGTATATATTTCATGCTCTACAACACTATTTACCTCCGATCAAAGCCGAGTCGCTGTTGATAGCATTGACTATTGGCTCACCCGTATTTACTGAACCCACATGATCTACAGCAGAGAAGAGAGACAGACAGACAGACAGTCAGACAGATCATCAGCAGGACTGAAGCACTTATTGCTCGCAGGTCGCGGCTCATTGAATACGCCAGAGCCGCTCGATGAAGGAGCGATGCAGCACAAACGCAGAGGCAATCGAGGAATTATTATGCAAATGAAGGTCTTTCGCACGCAGATTAATACAGTGATCAGCCATTACCATCATTATTGCTCTAATTTAATTAGCACTGCGGATGTATTCAGTGAGCCGGCGACTAAAGTTTGCTGAAATTCGACTTCCAGCAGGAATCTGGCCAGAAAGACTCAACAAACTAGAGAGAAGTTTGGAAAACAAAGCCTGAAGAAGATACAGACGCCCATAACTGTTCCATCCGTCCATCCATTAAGTTATAAATGTTCACCTTTATGTAAACCCATGCATTAGCAAGACACAAATTAATTATTTCAATAAAGTGATGTAATGCAGTTTTTGTCTTCATTACTATATATTTTTTTATATGAATCAATTTATAGCCATTCATGGCCCGTGCATATATTGCAGTTAATTAAAAAATATAAGCACTATTTCATATGATATATTCCTATACATTTTTGTTTTGTAAGTGTTATGCTGCTATGAAAGTAGCTGGAAGACAAAATTGGAGAGTAGAAGATTGTATGTTAATGGTAAAGTTATGAATTTCAGTCTGACACATAAAAACGGGTTTGCGTTAAAGTGCTTGCTTTCGTGTACTTCACAGTTTAAACTAAGTTGAGTCGATATTTACTCTAAATTCACTAAAACAGAACTAGTTAAACCATTGGCAAAGCCTCTTGGTAGATTTAGGTTCTGATACAAGGATTATCAGTCCATTTTGACCTCAAAAAGGCCAAATATCAGACAATGAATTGGTTTGACCAATAAACCAAAAGAGTGTGTCAGTGCCGTCCACTTTTTCAACATCTTTGGTTCTGGAAGTATTTTTCCATTCATTTTCTCCATAGAGATCTTTAAAAAGTGTTTGAACCAAACCAACCAGCTATGAGGAGAATCACAGCATTACAAACTTTGATTTGGATCAAAAAAATTGAAATTTGGTGAAAAGACAAAGATACAAGACTGAACTTTAGGGCTTTAATGTGGGAAAGAACTACAATCCTGTGAAGCATTGCAAATGACTTAAATTAAAAATCATGGAGAAATATAAAACTATTGATTTAAAGGCGCTCATTAATTATATAGAAACTATTTATTTATTTTAATTTTTTTCTGCATGTTGGTGTTTTATCTTTCACTTGGATGTTGTAAGTTGCACAGAGTAAATACAGCTGGATAAATCAAAAACTGTGTCTGTCTTCATTTCAGGCTGTAAAGCAACAAACTGTGATTACTTTAAAGAGGGCTGATTCTTTTCAGTACCCACTGTATTATTGATTAACATTGATTGAACATTGATTAACAACCCGGAGCTCAGGTCTGTAAAGTTGTTTACAATCAATTCACCTATGGAGAAAATGAATGGGATTTTGACTGTCTAAAACTAAATTATTGAAGGAAGTGGGCGTCAGTGTTGATGGTGTACCTGTGAGTGAATGAGTGGTCTCAGCGGCGTAGGGGTTGGTGGGTAAAGACGAGCCACAGCTGGATTCGCTTAGCGGTCCGGTGACTATGACAGGACTGGTGTCTGGATAGAGCAGAGCTGCCTTCAGCGGAGAGATGGAGTTAAACTGGACCACAGACAAACAGCCGGTGAAGCCCAGGGCGTTCAGACGGGCGATCTCTGGATCCACTTCACCTGACTCTGCAAACAAGAACAGGTGCATTTGAGTATTCAGTGGAGATCTAATGGAAATGTTTTAGTCTCCTGCTTCTCAGATGTTTCTCCTAAGAAAAAGACAAATGTAATCTCACATATGTCTCCTCTGGAGTTTTCAATGAGATCTCAGTATCTCCAGCTGAACCCAGATTTACCAAGATCGCAAAGTCTACAATATTAAGTCATACATCTTAAAATTATCTTAATGGTTTCTCCAGGATAGCAATTAAATGGAGATCTAATGGATTTTCTGAAGTATCCTTCCTCTCAGATCTTTCTCCTGAGAAAAAAAACAATGATCTCACGTGTCTTCTCTTGAGTTTCAGAAGAGACCTCAATAGATATGTTTCCATCCAAAGTTGCGAATTTAACTTATGTGCAAAAAAACCTGAAATATCGCATAAAACATTTGCTAATAAAGCACCATTTCCATCCAATGAGTCAAAGAGAGCAAACTCGTCACTTCCTGATAAATTGGCAGTAAATATCACTAAGAAAAGTAGGACGCAGACTTTGCTCGGGCATTTCAGAATGAGCATAACAACATTTCAGATGCTGTGAAAAGAGTTCAGTCCGCCAGTTAGTCAAGTTATGCCATCCCATTGCTCAAAGTCACATGACTTTTTTGATGCTCATGGAGGAATTTATTCAGCAAATGGTTTTCCATCTCCCATTATTCGCATTAACTCTTTTTCGCACAGGTCAAAAACTACCTCAAGCGAGCATGACAATTTCTAAATTTGATGTTTCTCATCACTCGTTTCTGATGCGATACTTCAAAATGTGCATGAAAACCAGGTGATGGAAACAGCTACTGTCTCAAACTGGCCTACTAAAATACTATAATCTGCAATATAAAGTGATAAAAATATCTCATTGGTTTCTCCAGGATAGCAATTCAATGGAGATCTAATGCAAATGTTTGGTTGCGTTTCCTGCTTCTCAGATGTTTCTCCTGAGAAAAAGACTCACAAACGTCTCCTCTTGAGTTTCAGAAGAGATCTGCAATCAAAAGTCAGAGATCTCGTTATGAACTCAAACATTTCTCATCAAATTCTCCCGAGACCAAATGATCTGAGCTGCTTCCACATTCATTTTACAGACTGTATGTCAATTACTGACTCATTTCAGAGAATTCAGGAGAAACATCTGAAACAAGCTTTACCGACACATAACATGAGAACTCCATTAAGCTCAGGTAATATTCGTCACTGCCTCTGTAACGAGATGCGAGTCTCACTTCAAACGTACATGGACAGCGGCGACTGAACACAAAACCATGCGATCCAGGTTTTGTACCAAACATCTCGAGTGAAAACCGCACGCTGCAACGGCAGTGAACTGAACACATCGAGCCTGATGAAAGTGTTTTTATTCAGACTCTGAGCCACTCAATGGCCCATGGAAAGAAAAAACACAACGTAGTCGACAGATAACAAGTGCATGAGGCTTTTTTATTCAACATCAAGATTTTAGGTCTGCTCTTTACTTTACATTTTATATTATCAGCATTGCAGTTTGAGCGAAAAATTCACTCTATAAAGCTACTGTGTGGTATTTGATATGCAAATTTTAGACTTCCAAATGATCAACATGATCAAAACTTTGCTGATAAACCTGTTTCGCACACAATCTCCTCCATGCTTCTGTCGTCTGATTGATAGTTTAGAGTTTATTCAGTCAAAGCTCTTGTAGTGTAACTGTAGCTGGAGCTTCACGTGTCAAATCTTGACTGATTTTGATCAAGTAAACATCAGAATAACTGCAGTAACATCTCCAGATGAACACTTACTGAACTGAAGCAGCTCAGCTTTACTTGATTCTCCATCAATCATGTTTTAGAGTCTGAAATCTGATCCTCAGGATCTTTTGAGGAGCGTTTGTTTCCAGAAGCTTTACTTTCACTGTTCCTCAGCGGAGGAATGATCTTCACAAGCCTCCAGAACATCTCACATCTTCTGAGGAGCCTTGATTTCTTCAGCTCTCAATCACTGCATTATATGTTTGGAGCATTTCACTCTCATCTCACTGAGACCGATTACTGGAGATATAGAGCGATGACTGATATTTAGAGCATTTTATGTGAATATCTGTTGTACTGTTTTAAAGATCTCATTAATTTACATTACAAGCATATAAATATCAGCATCTAAGGCAAATTGCATATTTTTGCTCAGTTTGAGACTGAATAAAATTGAGCTGTTCTTTTCTCAATATTCTCTCTTGACTACGAGCCGTAAATACTCAGCAAAAAAAGCATATGCAAACTTTTTCAAAGATTTTGTCTACAGGTTTAACAAAAAAGTTGTATTTTTCTTCTATTATTTCATATGTCAAGTTTTACAAGGTTAAATGGAAAAATGAGCATGAATGGTCTCAGTATTTGGTGTGTCTCTATTTTGACATGCACCTGATGATCTTGTTCTCCAGCTTGATTCTGAGCATCTGCTTGCCATCATTTCAGCTCAGAACTGGTGTAATATTAATCTTCAGGAGCTCGATGCAGGTTTCACATTTGATTTAGTATGCATTACAAGTCGATTGCTGGCCGTGATCGATAGTGTTTGCTGGAAATGACACACAGGCTGCTGTCAGTGACACACTATCTGAAGGGTCACAGCAAATGTGTTTCATGTCACATGTTCATATGAAAGATCATATGGATGCACACGCTGCCCCGCGAGAATGTTTCCCTCCCTCCGCCAACCTTGACCTGTACATCATTACGGAGAGAATGAACCAGCCTAATTTGGCTCATGAGGATCTTTGGGTAACTATAGAAATGACTGCTGTGGGAGATACAGAATAAAACAGAGCTGACTGATCATGTGCAATCGTAAAGCTCCTCATTTTCTTAATATCTGTAAACCCTGCCAGTAAATCTTACAAAAATATCATTTCCAAAAGTCAATGTTATATTTGTGCAAAAAAAAAGTCTATTTTTAGGACCATTATGGATTTTTGTCATGCAGTTCAAAAACTCTTCCTGAACAAAAAATATAATTAAAATCAGAAAGGCATTATAACAAATATTACATTGCTATTTATGAAAAAAATATATATGTACACACACAAAAATAAATAAATTATATAATAAAAATATTATAAATATACGTGATTGCCATGAAAAAATGTCACAATGCAAAATAAACACATAAACAAACCTCCTAATAAAAGGCTTTTTAATGCATGCAGTTCAAAACTCATCCTGAACAAAATGTTTTATTAAAATCAGAAAAAATAAAGGCAGTATAACAAATACTACAATGCTAGTTGCATATTGTGCTTCATTTTAATGAAAAAAGTCACAATGCAAAAACAAACAAACAAAAATCATCCTAATAATAGACTTTAATACAAAACGTCTTCCTGAGATTCCTCCTGCAAGCTTTGTATTTTCAAACTTCTGCTGTATTATTTATTAACTCAATGTTTTATTCATCTATTCGGGTTTTATGACTAGAAAGCTGCTGCAGATCCTATTTATAGACATACAAAATTAAACTGACCCATTTGCCGTCCCCCCAGATGACAATAATAACATGTAAAGTCAATATTAGTCTTATCTGAAGTAAATAGGACAAAGCGTACTCTGTTCACTCAGATTGAAGAGTTCGCCTGACTGCACAAACAAGCTCCTGATGCTTCCGCTTCCTCCAGACATTTCAGCATCCGTGATGCTTAGAAAACCTCTAAAATGAATATAATAATGGCCACTTAACTGACCATCTGCATGTCGCTGAGGTCAGAACTCGATTGTGATTCAGAGACATTTCCTCCTTAATACAAAAACACTGGTGATGTTCAGAATAGATTATTACTGCTTGTCAAATAGCACATATGTAAGACTTTTGGGTTTTGCTCATTTATTATTGAAACATTTAGCTTAAACTTAAAAAATATATAATTAAGTCTATTTTTAGGGCCATTACAATTTTTGGTCATGCAGTTCAAAACTCATCCTGAACAAAAATTTTCATTAAAATCAGAAAAAAATAAAGGCATTATAAGAAATATTACAATGCTATTTACTTACAACTGTACTTTATGGGGGGGGGATGCACGCACGCAAGCACGCAAGCACGCAGGCACGCACGCATGCACACACACACACACACACACACACACACACACACACACACAAGTTTGTTTTTGTGAAAAGTGGGGACTCTCCATAGGCGTAATGGTTTTTATACTGTACAGACCGTATATTCTATTGCCCTACACCAACCCTACCCCTAAACCTACCCCTCACAGGAGACTTTGTGCTATTTCAGATTTTCAATACACTCCATTCTGTGTGATTTATAAGCGTTTTGAAAAGGTAATGGGGTAATGTCCTGAAAAGTTACCTTCTCCTTGTAAGACCTATGTCATTATACAAATTGATGTCCTCATTTGTCACAAAAAATGCGCACACACTCGCACACACACACACACACACACACACACACACACCACATAAACCCATTATAATAAATGTAATATTTACCTGTGCCCTTCAGCAGAAATATACAGAAATTTAAATGATCAAACACTAAATTCTAAATTAAATATAGATGAATTCTTAAAACTATAAAAGCTATTTTTTCCTCTTTTTTCTGTGTCCTTTGATTAACAGATCACAGCAGCTGGTTGTTAGGTTGTTTCGGCTGTTATTTCTTTAAGAGCTGCCGCTGGTGAACGTGACGCAGGTCTGACAATTATCATATTTTCTTTCAACTGCTTTTACTTTTTCTGACCCACTTCAGGTCTTAAAGTCTCTATTAATGAGCTGACGAGTTAAATCGGCTTCTCCAGAACAGTTTTGAAAACCATTTCAGAGACATGTTCTTAAATGTGACTCATATAATATATATTACATGCATGCACAGTTTTAAGGCAGCTTTAATCGCCTTTTTGGTAACTTCATGCCTGACCACAGCATTGCATGCACGTAGTTTATTGCGCTTCGATATGAAAGGATACAGGTTACAGCACGCGGAAATTAGAAAGTTGATTTATGTTAATTCTTTGATAAATCCTGATATCAATGCATTGCCCAGCCCTACTATTGGAGTAAAAACCACCTTGAACCTCTTGAGATTCGGTACCTTTATGGCAGAAGGTGCCGGTGAAGGGCGAGAGGCTGCAGTCGCAGGTGAAGCCACTGTGATCCTCCACACAGCTGCCGTGATTCTGGCACAGGCCGCCGTAGCTGCTGCAGTGTCCGGGACACCCGGGCGTCACTCCGGGTGTGATCTCCGCCCGCTCCTCCAGATCCAGAGTCTTCCCGTTCAGCTTCAGCGAGCGAATGCAGCCCAGGAAGCCCTTCTGTCTGGAAGCCGTTCCTCCTGAAGACGCAAGCAGAGTTTACTCTCAGGTGGAATCATAACTGAAGGCTCTTGAGCGGAGAAGGAGCGACCGTTGAGCCTCATTCGAGTCTGCAGCAGCCTATCAAAGCTGATAACTTGATAAAAATGGCTTTCTTTCTCATGTTATGAGCTGAACAGAATATCTGTGATACTGAGAGCGTCTCCTGGAGTCGAATGACTGATCTATTTTACCCAGAAGACCTCAGACCTGCATTATAAACTGGCTGAAATAGAGTTCTTCATAGCTAGATGAGCAGGCGGCCGTATCTGAACAGTCATGGGAACCTGCGAATCCAATTGCTGCAGAATGGAGCTGTAAAGATTGAACTATAATGACACTACTTTCCTAACACTTACTGGAAAACTTCAATTCATCGGTGCTGAATTCCTCCAACACAGAGACACCTTTCAAATTTGCCAGCTGCTCGGTCAAGGTCAACACATCTTCAGCTTCACAGAAAGCACTGGCATTGAGAGTCACAGCATCAGACTGTTTCAGCCCTTCAGAGTCACACGAGCACGAAAGATGTCCAGAACTGGTCTCATATTTCACTCCAAAGATCCAAAGATTAAAACATACATTTTGCATAAAGAAAATGAAGATCTCCCCCCATTAGAAGTATTACTTAGAAATGAAGTGAAATAATTTAAAGTACTAAAATCACTAAAAGTAAAGTTGAAATAAATATAAAAAAACAAGCACTAATAAAAATGACAAAAGCACAAAATCACTAAAACTTATAATAAAACAAACTGAAAATGTAAAAATTAATGTAAATTTAAAATATTCATAAATACTATAATAGTATATAAATAATACTAAAATAACACTGAAATGGAAACGTAAAAATAGAAATAATAAAGCTATAATATATTTTAATAATAATACATACTTTAATAGTATATAAATAACACTAATATAAACTAAAATAGAAATATAAAAATGTTAAATATTTGACAGATATATTTTTAAACATTAATAGATACTGTAACATTATATAAATAATTAAAAACATAAAACATAAAATCAAAATGTAAAATATTTGTAAGCAAAAATGTTTGTATTTTTTTTTTTTTTTATATATATATAGTAAAATATTTTAAGCAAATGTTTCTATTTGATTCTATTCTATATATCTAAAACCACCACTGGCTCTGCCCCCCTTTACCTAAATTCATTACTTCACACTTGTGCCTCTAGAAGCTTGCGTTCTGCAAGTGAACATCACTTTATTGTTCATCCCAAAGAGGCACAAAATCACTTTCACAGACTTTTACATTAACTGTTCCCTCCTGGTGGAATGACCTGCCCAACTCAATCCCAGCAGCTGAGTCCTTAACCATCTTCAAGAAACAACTAAAAACACATCTGTTCCACCTTTATTTGACCCTCTAACTCTAGCACTCTCTATTCTAATTCTATTCTTTATATAAAAAAAAATAAAATAAAAAAACTTGCCCCTTTTAGACTTGCACTCTATTTATTTACTATCTGCTTGATTTCTTAAAAAAAAACACCGAACATTAGCTTCTCTAATCTTTTTGTATTCTATCTATTTGTTTTCTTTTTATTCATTATACAATTAACAAAAGCAAAAAAGGCCTCTAACACTAGCTTTAATCTTTTTCTATTCTGTTTTCTTTTTATTCATTATACAATTAACAAAAGCAAAAAAGGCCTCTAACACTAGCTTTAATCTTTTTCTATTCTGTTTTCTTTTTATTCATTATACAATTAACAAAAGCAAAAAAGGCCTCTAACACTAGCTTTAATCTTTTTCTATTCTGTTTTCTTTTTATTCATTATACAATTAACAAAAGCAAAAAAGGCCTCTAACACTAGCTTTAATCTTTTTCTATTCTGTTTTCTTTTTATTCATTATACAATTAACAAAAGCAAAAAAGGCCTCTAACACTAGCTTTAATCTTTTTCTATTCTGTTTTCTTTTTATTTATTATATGATAAAAAAAAAAAAAACCTTGCTACGTGTACTGCGTTAAGCTAACTGAGACTTGTTATAGCACTTGCATATCATTGCTCTCTTGTTGATTTTGATTGCTTCCTTTGTCCTCATTTGTAAGTCGCTTTGGATAAAAGGGTCTGCTAAACGTCTAAATGTAAATATTTGATTTTGGAGTGTTATATGACCTGCACAGTTCGTCTTTGTGGGATTCACACAAAAGGGTCAATAACGGCCGTCCAAAGCATGATAGCAGCGATGTGACAGAATGAACAGACCTCATTTATCTGTATTTAAATGTTCTCCTACCTACAAACAGCTGGCTGTTGAGCTGCAGATGAATGTGTCCGTCAGCGGGGGCTTTCTGAACGGCGCCGGGATGATGGTCCACATACAGCGAGGCCTCCTTCACGTTTCTCTCGGCTCTCACGTGATGCCAGCGCTCGTCGTTCAGAGCCGCCGGCGTCTCCACCTTCACCTCCAGAGGACCGTTCCCCACGTCGAACGAGAAGAGCACTCGAGTCGGAGCTGGAAACACAAACACGTTTGATGGATGTTCAGACTGATATTTGGCTGATGTTCGCATCCAGTTAATAAGACGCAACTGTTGAAGAGAAATGAGATATGAGACGCGTTCCAGTGAAATCTGTTGTGTGGCAGATGATGTTTGATGGTTTGAGAAAAATGCCAGGAGGACGTCAAAAACAACTTCTAATGATGATGAAATGAATGATAAAGCATCTGACAGATACAATCAGCTGCCTTTAATGGGAGAAGAGCATCATGCTGATGAACAGCATCATCTATAGAGCTAAAAACCCGCAGGAGAGAGGGATCTCACACCAAACCTCTTTAAGATCTCAACAACTTCTCTGAGGAACCAGAGGAAAATATGAACTCATCAATGATCTGAGCTACTTCCACATTCATTTGATTCATTCAGAAGATCAGAGACTTATTGAGCAACATTTATTGGGCCAGCAACCACATATAGTAACACCACTCATGTTTTCTGCAGAACATGTAAAAATCTAGACAAAAGCACATAATAAAATAATTAAAACTAAAATTAAAGTGAAAACTGAAAACACAAATAAAAACAAATTTAAAGTATCAATAAGTATTATATAATTAATACTAAAATAACACTGAAATAAAAATATAAATATAAATAAAAAATGTAAATATTTAAAAATGTATATGTACAAACAATTTTACCAAAACTTTACAATTAAAACGGAAACTGAAAATCTAAAAATAAAAGCTTATTTAAAATATTGATAAATACTATTTTAATATACAATTAATACTAAAATAACACACAAAAAATATAAAATATAAATAATAAAAAATAAAAAATATTAAATATTAAAAAATTTAAATATGTAAAAACAAATTTAAATATTTCAAAAACTGAAAATCTAAAAATAAAAGCTTATTTAAAATATTGATAAATACTATATTAAAATACAATGAATACTAAAATAACACTGAAATAAAAAAAAAATCTAAAAATAGAAAAGAAAAAAGAAAAAATATTTGTAAGCATATATTCCTATTTTTTCCTGTAATATTTCAACAAAATTACCTATAGATGTATATTGTAGATTTTACTATATTTTTCATCATCATCATCATCATCATCATCATCATCATTATTATTATGTTATTGACAGTTTGTCTTTGTGAGATTCATACAAAGGGACAAATACTGTCTATCCAAAACATGACAACAGTGATGATTTCTGAGCTGCACACAGAATGAACAGACATTATTTATCTGATAAATGTTCTTCAGTTTGCTCTCAGAAATTACTGGTAAATATCACAAATAATTACAAAGAAACGACAAGTCCCACAGTGAATTCTGAAGTAGAAAAGCTGAACTAGTTTTCTTGTAAAACACTCCAATAATTGTAATAATGCAAAAAAAAAACGACCTAAAACTGCTTCACACATCTCAGTTTCTTACTCCGTGTTCACATCTGTTGAAGAACCAGCGCATCTTCAGGCTCCCGCCGCTCCATCTGCAGGATTCCTGAATGAAAGATCGGCAGCGTCTGTCATGAAGCACTTCTCTAATGACAGAAAACTGCTCGTCATTCCCAGCTGCGCTCGGGGGGAAGAGTCAGACGCACTTGGAAAAGTAGACGCGAGCGTCATTATTAAACACATAGTTCAGCCTGAAATGAATATTCTGCCATCATTTCCTCATTCATGTCGTTAAACAGACTTTCGAGATGTTTCGCTGAATGTTCATGAAGCTCTTTCTCATATGAGGAAAGTGAACTGACTTTGTCAAGTATAATAACGGGAGAATTGACTCTCGCACTAAACTGTGAGTCTTATGGTTCATTTATTATCAAATATATAAAATAATACAAATTTATAATAACTACCGTTAAAAAGTTTGGGGTCAGTATGACTAAAGAAATTCATAAAATTGCATTAAATTGTTTAAAAGTGACAGTAAAGACATTTATAATGTTACAAAATATTTCTGTTTCAAGTAAATGCTGTTCTTTTAAACTTTCTATTATCAAAGAATCCTGAAAAATAAAATGCATCACGGTTTCCACAAAAATATTCAGCAGCACAACTGTTTTCAACATTGATAATAATCAGAAATGTTTCTCGAGCAGCAGATCAGCATATTATACTGATTTCTGAAGATCATGTGACACTGAAGACTGGAGTAATGATGCTGAAAATACAGCTGCGCATCACAGAAATACATTACATTTGAACAGATATTCACATAGAAAACTGTTATTTTAAATTATAATAATATTTCACAATATTTCTGATTTTACTGTATTTTGATCAAATACTGTATATGCAGTGAAATCTATCTATCTATCTATCTATCTATCTATCTATCTATCTATCTATCTATCTATCTATCTATCTATCTATCTATCTATCTATCTATCTATCTATCTATCTATCTATCTATCCATGCAAAGTTTGTCTTCTTAAACTTGTTACAAAATTACAGTTATATGAATTTCTTTGAATTTCAATTCATTTGAATTCTACTTCCTTGCATTTAAATTCAAATTTAAATTCTGTATCCTGTTTGCAACCTTAATTCAAACTCTGGAGCCGAAACTGGAATTTAAAAGATATTCTCAATCCACGTCTTGAGTATTTTTCTGTATGGAGAAAAAAGGTATACATTTTCTGCTATATGAAGGACGTAAATTCATGCCGGTTTGGATCGATGTGATGGCGGGTAAATGACATTTCGACCGAACGCTTCCAGCTCACATCTCAGATGCCACTGTTTATTCTCGTCCGGTGTTTTGAGAGGAACTTCCTGTGAGTTCACGTCCTACATGAGCAGCCTCGCCAGGCTCCGACTCCGTCAGAATATAATGAGAGGTTAATTGAGCTCTTCCAGCCGGAGGATTTGTCATTATAAAGGAACAAGCGCTCGGGCGCTGTAAGGTCTTCACTGATTCTATTCTCATCCATCACATGAGCCCATTACGGCAGGAATTTAACAGCTCTTTCATGCAGTTAAATACTCGCGCAATAGACAGCGAGCGTGTGGCGGAGGGGTATAATAAAACTCCAGACACACCCCCACAGGACGAGGGCTTTTATAGGGTTCGGATGAACTACGGCTGACGTGAGACAGATAGAGCTCATCTAACAGCAGCTGATTTAGATTTTACATTTTCAGAGGGAAATGATAGAGGTGTGTGTGCATGCAGTTTGTTATGCAGTTGCACTAGTTTCTGTGATCTGCTGCTCTCTAAAAATGGCTCAGATGTGCGGCTGTGGGTTTTTTCCACCTGTTTTCTGGTCCAGCAGGTAAAAACGGTGCATCTGCTCATTTAGTAAAGTAACCAGGGTTATTATAGTTAACTAAAACTTAAAACATATATATTTTTTCAATAAATAATAACTAATTCAATAAATCCAATTAAACAGCATTTCTAAATTTTTATTAATATGTATATAATTTATATTATATGCATAAAATTAATATTTTAAATATTAACATGAAATATTATTATTAAACAATATGAATATTAAACATGATTATATATAACTATTTATATTTCTATTTTAGAATTGAAATTTTCTATTCTATTCTTCCAACTCTGATTACTATAATGCATCCATATACAGTATATTAACTATTTGTATATTTATTAATATCTGTATCTATATTTATACACACATACACACACAATAAGAAATAAACTTTAACTGAAACAAAATAGAATATAAACATTTATAAAAATATTTTAAATACTTTCATATCTAATAAAAACAATACTTATCATTTTTATATTAAAATTACATTATATATCATATTATATTTTATAATATCATATAATGTCATATCTCATATCATATCATATATCACATCACACATATCACATCATATCATACCATATATCATATCATATCATATCATATTAATCATATCATATCATATCATGTCATGTCTCATATCATATCATATATCACATCACATCACACATATCACATCATATCATATCATATCATATCATATCATATCATATCATTCATGTCATGTCTCATATCATATCATATATCACATCACATCACACATATCACATCATATCATATCATATCATATCATATCATATCATATCATATCATATCATATCATATCATATCATATCATATCATATCATATCATATCAGCTTTTTTTGTTTTGCAATGCATTGCATTGTAAGAACATTTTACAAAAAAGCAAAGTTAAAATGACATCCAAAATTGTAAAACCTAATTTGTTTATTGCATCAGGATGGCATCTTAATAAATTCCTTAGATTTTTGGTCCTTTGATTATATTGCAACTTACTTACTTTTTTTTTTTAATCACAACCACGTTTTCCAATTTCCACAATGCAGAATAAATCATTTAAAAACAATGACTTAAAAGAGTGATCATTTCAGCTAAACAGGCCATTTTTGCCAATTGGTGTAGATTAAAATGGTACCTACTGTAGTAACAAAAAAGTAAAACCTATTAACAAACATCAGTATTCACCTATATATAAGTATATAAGGTTTACACACACACAGACACTCTCGCACTCACACACTCTCGCACTCACACTCACACTCGCGCGCACACACACACACACACACACACACACACACACACACACACACACACACACGTCTGGTTCATAGGCGTAATGGTTTTTATACTGTACAAACTGCATTTTCTATTGCCCTACACCAACCCTACCCCTAAACCTACCCCTCACAGAAAACTTTGTGCATTTTTACAATCTCAAAAAAACTAATTCTGTATGATTTATAAGCTTTTGTGATAATAAATCAGCATATTATTATGATTTCTGAAGATCATGTGACACTGAAGACTGAAGTAATGATGCTGAAAATACAGCTGCGCATCACAGAAATAAATCATTTTTTAATGTATATTAAAATAGAAAAACGTTATTTTACATTGTAATAATATTTCACAATGTTACATTTTTTCCCTGTATTTTTGATCAAATAAATGCAGCCTAGATGAGCAGAAGAAACTCCTTTAAAAACATTAAAAATCATTCTGATCCCAAACTTTTGAACGGTAGAGTATGAGCACAATTTAAGTCATTTTGAGATGATGTGCGAGTTGATTGAGGTCTTTTTCTCATGAGAAACACCTGAGAAGCAGAAAATATCTCTGTTTGCTCTACTTTTAATCTCATTGCTGTTTGAGAAAAAGCATTTAGATGTTAAAGAGCTCTCGTGAGTCTCGCATGCATCAGTCCAAGTTTAATCGAGATGAGCGCGCTGTTTTCTTTACTGTTTATCTGACATTTCCAACATTTCTTATTTACGCTCGACACCATGTTCTCCCTGTCTCATCAAGAACTCTGATAATGTGACAACTAATGGATGTAATTACCATTTGTCCGGATGTTTCATGTTTATTTGAGAGACTAGAGACCCGTTATAACCCTGCGCTAGACACCGAACCAAACCGCCCATGACAAACCCACACAAACAAACATGATAAGAGCTCTTGAAAGGTGCAAATGCACATGAATAATCTACCCTAAAGGTGACTTTCAATTAATTTAATGCAGAAAAAAGTGGGGAAATAACTGAGATGTCCGTAACAAAGAGCATAACAATCAGTTTGAGTCGTTTGCTTAAGCGTCATGCTTTTGCAGATGGAGCGAGGTTTTAATAAGCCTGACCTTTCATAGGGAGGGGGCGATCGATATTCCTAATAAAAAGGGCTTACCTGGTGTGTTCAAGAGCCGTGACTTTTTGCAGTGGTAGGAGAGCTCCTGCACGCAGTACTCCGCCTGGGTAATTATCGCCTGGATCTGCTCCACATCGGCGGAATAGTTAAAGTGGGCTAAATGCTGATTTATCCCAGAGGACACTTTTAATTTGGTGAGCTCCGTGTTATTATGTTGGATCACCATCCATGCTTTATCTGCAGGGAAAGGAGGGATTCGACCAATGAAAATGCTAAAATGACACACGTGCACAATGTTTTAGCTCAGAGCTCCGTCAATTTCATGTTGTGCAACAGTCACGTGACCTTTAAAAGGTCACAGGATGCTCATTAAAAAACCTAAAGCATGCGATATATACTAAGCAATCATAAACACGGGCTCTTGGGTTCGAAGAATGTTTATTAAGAGCCATTTTGGGCTGAATTGGGTTCTTGAGCTGCTTTAGAGATTATTGATGTTTCACTTTAGGTTCTTCATAATAGTTTTACTCTGTTAAAATCATGAAATTACACTTTCAACCCATTTTACTTACTGTATATAGTGTGATGTCAGAAATTGTTAACTCAACAAAACTTATTCATAACTTTTTTTCCTTAACCTTAATGGAAATAAAACTCCACACGCACGCACACACACACACACACATACATGTTGTGTTTCCATGTTTTATGGGGACATTCCATAGGCGTAATGGTTTTTATACTGTACAAACTGTATGTGCTATTGCCCTACACCAACCCTACAATAGTTAACTCAACAAAATTTATTCATAACTTTTTTTCCTTAACCTTAATGGACATAAAACCACACACACACACGTTGTGTTTCCATGTTTTATGGGGACATTCCATAGGCGTAATGGTTTTTATACTGTACAAACTGTATGTGCTATTGCCCTACACCAACCCTACTCCTTACAGGAAACTTTACAGAAGCATTTTTACTTTCTCAAAATTACACATTCTGTATGATTTATAAGCTTGTTTCCTCATGGGGACCTCAAAAATGTCCACACAAGGTCAACATTTACTAGTATTACTATCCTTGTGGGGACATTTGGTCCCCATAACGTGA